AGAGCCGGGGACCCTGGGTGCTGACATGGTACGGAGAGATCCACATGGCATGGGGGTCCTGGACAGTAGGGATGTGCAAAATAGGCCGTATTTGATTTGGAGTTGGCCCAAATCGGGAGATAGTGATTCGATTTGTTGATTCAGATCACTGTCCTGATTTTTGATTTGGCCAAATCTGAATCTTCAGATTCAGAATGCTGATTCAGAGAATCAGCAATTCGGCCATAGACAGCTTTAAATGTTTTTTTTCTATGTACCTTGAGGTACCAAGTGCGGCCCGTGAATGCTGCGATACTGGGGTGGGTGGAGCATTCCACAGGAGCATGGGGGGGGTCCCCCCATGTGCTCAGCAGCAGACCTGGAAGTGGACCGGAAGTACTTCTTCCCCTCGCACCTGCACCCTCCTGACTCGGCAGTTGGCTGCGGGGGACCCCAGGTCTCTCCCCACCAGACCCAGGAGGTACCAGTCGCTGAGCTGGGGGCGGGGGGGTCCTGGAAGTGGACCAGAAGTGCTTCTAGTCTACTTCTGGGTCTGCTGCTGAGTGCACTGGGGACCTCCCCACGCTCCCGTGGGATGCTCCATCTGCCCCACCATCTCCAGCATTGTTGAGCTGCCTGGTACCTTGAGGTATGTAGAGAAAACACTTAAAGCTGTCTATGTCCAAATCATCAAATCTCTCCAAATCAATTTGGAGGGTTTTAATTCGATTGGGAGAGATTAAATGCTCTCCTGATTTGGTTCAGATTTGGTCACCGAATCGGGCTGAATCTCTGCCGATTTTATAATCAGCAACTGAAGCTTCACACAGCCCTACTGGGCAATACAATGGGAGGCATGCAGTCTGGTGTTGGGAGTGGAGGAGGGCTTGCAGTGTAGGATATGACCCGCACACTATGCAGCCTGAGCAGTGTGGTAAAAGATAAAAGGATATGGGTAAAACAGTTACCCTTATCCACATAGTTTGAAGTAAACCAAGACTGCTCAACTTCAGAGGTGCTGCAGGGATTGACTGGCTGGGCTGCAGTACTGTAGAGAAGGAGTTAGTGGACCATGAGCTGAATAAACCAAGTGTGTGCTCGTGTTGCAACAGCATATACTGGGTTGTGTTGCCAAGAGCATCGCTTCCAGATCACAGGAAGTGATTCTTCTGACCTTTTCAACACCGGTGAAGGCCTCGTGGAGCGCTGCCCCTTTTTGGGCTCCACGCTTCAAGACGGATGTGGACAGTTTAGGAGGAGTCCACTGAAGAGCAACAAAAATGATTGAGGTCTAGAAAGCAAAACGCAAGAGGAAAGGCTGAAAATACTGGGGTGTTTATTGGGGAGAAGAGAAGATTGAGGGCAGATTATGCCTGAAGGGTGATTATAGAAAGGGTAGAAAGATGGACTGTTCTCTGTTGCTGTAGGGGCCTGAACTAAGGGCAATGGCATCAAGCTTCAGCAGAGGAAACTTGCGCTGGAGATTAGGAGGAACTTCTTGAGTATGAAGGGTGGCCAAGCATTGGAACACAAGCTGCCTAGAGAAGTTGTGGAAGCTTTGTCCTTGGACACTTCCAAGAGTAAGCTAGATAAACATTTAGCTGGGATGGCATAGCTGATTTTGATCCTGGCTTGAGCAGGAGGCTGCACTAGATGACCTTGTGGCATAGGACCTTTTCTATCAAAGTAAAACAAAAAACCCCACATTTATGTTGTGGCTATTAATATTAATATTAATTATTCTTATTAGAATAGGATGAGGTTCTGAAAATATTGTTAAGTACATTTAGAAAATATACATAACTGATGCAAGAGAGAATATTTTATACCATTGTTTTCCATGTTTTCCCCTGCCCTGCATGCACTCCCCCAGATCAAAATTCACAGCACACTTTACTCACCGGTCTGGGCTTGATCCCGCTGTGCGGTGCTTGTCCATGTCCATGTCTCGGATTGGTACCTTCATGTGTGGCGGCACACCTTAGGGAATCGCTGTTTTATGTAGTGTTCATGAACGTAGAGGAATTGATTCTATTGCTTAGGTGCAGAAATAGTGAAGGTGGTGATTGCAGTAGAACTTTTAACCCCTCTTCCCCTCTATATGCCTTAATCTTGATATACCCAGAAGTCCTGGAGAGCCTGGTTCTTAGGCCGGGGTGGTCAACCCACAGTGCAGGCAGGTGGCAGACAGGGCAGGAGGCAGGGCAGACCTGCCAAAAAAGTTGGTTACAATGGTCTTAAGCAAACTGCATGGTGTAACTTTTAATGAACACTTATGGCAAGGAGCAAAGACAACTGTATTGCTTACATTTTTCAAGTCTGCTATTTTAAATTTACTACAAATCCTTGGTGCTTGTTTGGGGATTTTTGGTTTTGAACTAGTTAAGTTTGCTTTTCCCTAAGGGAAGGAATAATAAGTCTCATGTCATCTATTCAGTTATGTACACCAGTGCATAACTTCAGCTTTTACTTAGCAGAAGAAAACAAATCTCAGCTTTTATTTATCTGTTTATCATCAACTTAGACACCTTTTTAGCATGAAGAACAACCTGTTTGATTACAGATAAGCTAAAATTTCAAACTCGGTGTCAAAAGAAGAGAGATCTAGGCAGGAGATT